TTTGCATTTTTTTCTCAATTCGATTCGATTCGATTGCTCGAATCATATCCATATTCAATTCATAAGGAAATCGAAATTGGATTGCTTTTACTACCAAAAACACAATGATGCTATATGGTAATTTATTTTTTTGCAAAAACTTAAAAAAAACTGAAAAAAATAATATATTTATTGTTGACAATCGTTGAAGAGAAAAAAAAACTTGATGAAAATGAATGAAAATATAACTCGATTTTGTTCAGCCAAGATCAATTTTTTTTTTGCATTTTTTTGTTCCCTCCGTTATGATCAAATTGATTGATTGAATATCGTTTGTTTGTTTTGCGTTTGTTTCTGTTGCTGTGTTTTTTTTTGGAAAAATTCATGTTTTTTTTTCTCCAAAAATTTAAATTTATTGTCATTAGAAATTTTTTTTTATTATTGTCAAATTGATTAAAGATTATCATTTTTTTCGGGGTCTTTTTTGCTTCAGAAAAAATGTTTCCAGTAAAATAAAAATGGCAATAAATATACAAGATTTTCACAAACACAAACACAGAAAGAGAGAGAATTGTTGTTGTTGGTATTCTGATTGTAATAATGATTCACTTGCAAGTGTGTAATGTAGGTCGTATATTATAAACACACAATAGTTATGATGATGATGATTTGGTTGAATGAAAATGAATGAATGAAAAGAATTGTTGTGAAAAAAAATGAGAAGAGAAGAAAAGAAAAGAGAAAGGAAAACGAATCAAATTCAAACATAAAAAAAAAAATTCTTCAATTTTATATGTGATTCATTCAATTCACAATTCATCCATACACACACACACACACACAAAACATTGATCCAGCATCAGGATAACAGCCTCGAAAAGAAAATTTTTTTTTTCTAACCAACATTGATAACAAACAAACGGAAACAATAATTGAACATTTTAGTGTTAAAATAGCGGAACCACAACCAATTCTCATAAAAGAAAAAAAAATGAACTTTTGTAGAATCACCACCACCACCACCACCAACATCATTTAGAGATGATTTCTATTCATATTTTCTTTTCATTCATTTTTGCTTATTATTATTATTCTTTTTTTTCTATTTCATTCAATGAATTTTTCATTTCTTTGCTTGTTAATTTTCTTCCTGTAATCATCTTCAAATCATCATCATCATCATCATCATTTTGAAATGTATTTTTTCTTTTCTCCATTACTTTCTATAGTCTATGATATTAATAATGAAGTAATTTACGAAAGAAAAAATTCATTTTCAACCGAAAGTTATCGTAACAGCAAAAACAAAAACTTGATTATGATTATGATTATGATGTGATTGTCGTTTGTTTTTGTTTTCTTTTCAATCTAAATAATAATTACGATTAATCAATCAGCGATGGTTAATCTTGACAAAAAATTATGTCGTTGTTTTTTTCAGTTTGTTTGTTTGTTTGTTTGTTTGTCAAGCAAAGTTAGCATTTAGCATTTATTGAGTAACGGAGGAAAATTAAATCCAAAAAACATCAATATCTGAGTTTCGAGAGAGGATATCCGTTCAAAAAAATCACTGGTCATTTTGAAGTCAAAAAAATAAAATAAAATAAAGAAAATCGATAGGTCAAATAAACGAAAATTGGCAATAAAGTTTGATTATTTAACTTGAGACTTGACCAATCGAACAAAAAAACAATGATAATGATAATGTCATTTGATTATTGTTTATGTTGTTTTTTCAAACATTCGCGAAGAGAAAGAGAGAGAAAATGTTTGTCGATAATGACATTTCAGATTCTATCACTCAAAAAAAACTATTTTTATGATTATTATTATGATGTTGATGACAAAGTGAGTGTTAAAGCTTCTAGTTCGCTAAATTCACTATTCGCTAATCGAACTTAATAATATCAAAGTTTTTTTGGCTGCAAGTTAACGAAACGAAAAAAAATTGGCTTTTAGAAAAACAAAACAACGAAAAAAATCTTGGAATTTGAAAATTGAAGAATTGAACATTCGTAGAAAATTGAGTTTTTCCAATTTGTTTTTCGTTTTTTGTTTTTCTTGTTTTTCTTGCAAGCAGTCATTCAATGAGAAATAAACTCGCAAGCAAATGCTTTATTTTTTCGCCTTACACCTTATTAACTAATAGTAAGAAACTTGATAATGACTTTTAGTAATTAACCCGAATACAGTTCTAGGCAAAAAATCATAAAATAAGAAGAAAAAACCAAACCAGAATCCAGAATTTGGAAAGGGTGAAAGAAGAAAGAAGAAAACAACTAGAAAATTTTCATAATCATCTTAATAATTATGCAAAATATAAATGAAAAAAGTTTCAACCCCTTACCATACCGTGAAATGAAATGATTTTGTTGTTGACTGGCTGGAAAAAGGGGTGAGAAAAAAAGATACTTTCTTCTTCTTGTTATTCTTCCAATTCGCCATCATCATCGTCATCGTGAAAAAAACATTATCATTATCATGATCATAAGGGATGTGATCATCATCATCATCACATCATTAGAAAATATATTTCTTTTCCTCCCTCTCTCTCTTGCTTTTTCTTGAATATTACTTGAATCCATGGATGAAAATTAGAAAGAAAACAACAACAACAACAAAAAAAGTTAAAAAGAAATATTTTTTTTTTCTTTAGCGAAAATGATCGCAAAATCAAGTCAAATAGTTAAATAACATTGTGGATGATGATGATTATTTCATACATTTAGAGAAAAGAGAGAGAGAGAGAGAGAGAGAGAGAGAGAGAGAGAGAGAGAAAAAAAAAAAAANCTTTTTCTTGAATATTACTTGAATCCATGGATGAAAATTAGAAAAAAAACAACAACAACAACAAAAAAAGTTAAAAAGAAATATTTTTTTTTTTCTTTAGCGAAAATGATCGCAAAATCAAGTCAAAGAGTTAAATAACATTGTGGATGATGATGATGATTATTTCATACATTTAGAGAGAAAATTGTAAAAATCATTAATATAATTAAATTAGTTCTTAATTTAAGTTGCACATTGAATGAAATCAAGCATCATTGAAAATGATTAAAAGAAAAATGAATGGATGGAAAGTGAAAAAAATGATAAACTTTATGATAATGTTCAAGATTTGCTGGTTATCCATTTTATTTCCATTTTTTTTGCCACGTCCTTCACTATCGATTGTATCGATATTCAAACATGTAATCATTTTATTTCATTTGTTAAAAAGATTGATTGTTTTAATTATAAATTGTCATATACTATCCTATACAGTTTCGGTCTATTTAATTGTGAATAAATTGCATCATTTACTTATTTATTATTTCCCATTAAGAAAAATACTTTGATCTAAATTGAAGGTTTTTTTCTCTATTCCATTCGTTTTCCAAGAGAAAGGGAGAAAAAATCGATTTTCTTTATAAAGATCATGACCAATGTGAATGAATGGCGAAACAAAAATAGCTGATTCGAATTTTGAATTACGATCAAACCGAACCGAACAGAACTGAACAAACAAACTGAACCGAAATAAATGAATCAACAAATTGAATGAATCCATTCTCATTTGAACTGTTTGCTGTTGAAGATGATCATGATGATGATGATAATGATAATTTTTCATTCATTCATTCATTCAAAACGAGTGCGAAGAAAGAAAAAAAATTATTGACAACGGCAATTAATAAATTAGTGGACAAACCGAACCAAACGAAAAGAAACTATCGGAAAAAAAGAACGGTAAAGAATCAATGAGAGTAAAAAAAAAAGAAGAAATTCTGGTTTGTCGTTTTTTTGTTAAATTGATTGACAAATGAACTTTACTACAGATGCCACCACAAATCAACTAAGAACAACGGAAAAAATGAGAAACCAAGAAATAGAAGAAAAAAGAAACAATTCAAAGTCCATCTCGTTTCGTTTCGGCCAACGAGCAAATAGTGCACATTTCACAAGTGTCAAATGGATGATATTTTCTCTGTGTGTGTGTGTAAAAAGAGTATTATTCTAAATGGAATTGAATGAAATGTAACAACAAAATTTGTGAAAAAAAACTAGTAACAAACTAAATTGAAATATAATTTTTGGTTCGATTTATTTCATTTGGTCAATGAGAGTTTTACTTTAGACTTTTTTCTTTCGCCTTTTTAATTTTCTTTTTTTTTGAAACTCTCATTCACTTTGAAATGATTTAGACATACTTTACTTTAACTGAACACTACTATAGTGATATTCAATTAGTGGACAACAACAACAACAACAACAAAATGGTCTCCCTCACCATAGATTAAATGGACAAACGAATTAGACCGAGAAAATGTATAAAGAGACAGAGAGAGAGAGAGAGAGAGGGAAAGTGCCGAAAAATGCCTTGTCATTAACTGATGTAAATCAGAAAAAAAATTATGGCAAGAATATTCATCGTGAAAAAACCAAACGCCATCAATCAATCAATCAATCAAAATCTTCAATCGATCCATAAATATCAAGTACTGCTACTGCCATCTAGTGTGGCTAAAATCAAATGATTATTAGACAAAATGTTAGCTTCACTGCATTTATTCATTACATTTTGATCAATTACAAAAAAAATCATCGTTGTTTATTATTTACCAAAGTTATATCATTTTTTTTTGTATTAAAATTAGAATTTTTCCTTTACAAAATTATTTCATTACAAATTCTTTTATTTTATCCCCTCCTTTTTCATTTTTTTTTGTGATGAATTTTACATCGAAAAAACAAAACAAATTCAATACAAGAAATAAAAACCAAAAAAGAAAAAATTCATTCAAAGAGAAAGGGAAAGTAATGAACAAATATAGAGACAATAAGAGAGAGAGAAAGAGAAAAAATTTATATCACTTAGAAAATAACAAAATAATCAAATCAAATAAAAACAACAACAACAACCAAATTTAACAATTTGTTTGTTTTTTTTCATTTCATCTTTTTTTTTATAATAATCAATCAATCAATAATTTGAGAATAATAATAATTAAAATTTATAAAATTAATTACAAAGAAAGAAATTTAAAAGTTTTGTAAGTTTTTCATGATGATTTTATGCAGTACAAAAAAGAAAAATCTGCAGATTTTTTTTCAGTTTGTTTTTCGTTGATTGATGAATGTGTCAACATAAGACGATCGTTTTTGTCGAAACAGATAGAGCAGGCAAAATAAGTCAGATCCATCGCTTCTTTTTCAGTTTTTGTTTTTCCTGAATGTAAAGGGGAAAGATGATCATTTTATCAAAGTGATCGACTTCAAACAATCCTTTTTTTTCTGACTGTCCAAATACTACTTTTCAATGATGTTTGTTTTGCCAAAAAAAATTAATTCATATCATTATTATCATTATCATCATTATTATTATTATCACCAGTAACATCTTCATCTTCAGGTTCTTCAATTGTAACCTGAAATTTTATCTTTTCAGCAACAGCAGCTAATGATGAACGACGACTATGTTCATCATTTTCTCTATTATTATTATTATCTTCATTTGGACTTGCAGGTATCATACTTTGATACCAATCACGATTTTCTTCTAATGTATCTAATATATCTTGAGCATCTGGATGTACAAGATCGGCCCATGTTTCCCATAATGGATGAACTATAAATGAGAAAAAATGCAGAAAAATCAATCAAATGAACTTAAGAAAAAAAAGTAAAAAAATGTCTTACCAATATAATCAATAAAACCGACTTGTGATTTTTCAATTGTAGCATTAGTACGATCACACATTGGAGAAATTTCTAAACCCATAGCAAGTTCTTTATCACCTTGTTGAAAAAATTCTTCCATTAATAATGAACACCATTTTTGGTATAATTCAAGTTTTTTGGTTGGATTTGATAAATCGGCACAATGTAACATATTTTGTAAAACTTGAATTCTTTCAGTATAATTATCAAGAAATAATACACCACTGCCGGCAACTTTTTTCGTTTCAACCATTGTTTTAAGATCAGCTAATAAACTCATATGTTTACTCATATCAGTTGCCAATACCATATCAATAGTCATACGTCGTAATGTTTGTCGTTGTTTTTTACTTAAATTAATAAATATGTCACAATCAGGATCTTGTAAAACTTTAAATGCTACAGCTAATGAATGTGCTTCCAATACAGATTCATCATTATACATTAGAGCTAATTCAGAGCTTGAATTTATTAGAAATTGATTCGTAACACCAGGATGATCAACATCATGTATTGCGGCAGCAAATAAAGCTGTTAGAATTTCAAGGTCAGTAAATACCGACTAAATTTTTAACCAAAAAAATCAATTAAAATCAAGGATCAAATATCAAAATATATTTAACATACATCAAGAGCTGGTGATAATAATAACACATGTACAGATTGAGCAACATCAGCTGCATGAATGCTATTATGATATGGTACATCAATATGATAATGATCTTCCAATGTTAACATTAATCGTATAAATGTTTGTGAAGGTATTTGGAACGTTTTCATTAAATCACGTGACTAATATTGAAATGAATAGTAAAAAAAATTGAATTTGAAACCAAAAAACAACATTAGAAACATACTTTGAAAATAGTATACATGACCGAAGTCAATGGATGACGATTAGAATATTCGGATACTTTAAATAAATCTATACCCCATCTATCCATATCGGAAAATATTTTGGCCAATTCTTCTTCATTTGATGCTTCAATACCAAACCTTGGCATTTTTGTTAAACTATTTGCATGTGATAATGTTGTTTGACGAACACCAGATATATGAGACATGGCACGTGCTGGAGAATTTTTACCCGATAATGGTTGTATGTTGGCAGATGGTATAGTTGATGTAGTAGTTATTTTTGTTGTTAAATCAGTTGTTGTTATATCAGCAGGTGATGCAACTGCTGTTGTATTACTGGAAGATCCGGATGAAATGGCCATTGATCCTTGTTTGGAAGTTTCTTCCAATTGTAAAATAGGAAGATCCAATTCTTCTTGTTTATCTATAATAACAAAGAGAATCATCGAATTAAAATCGATTGATCAAATCAAACAAGAAAAGAACAACTAACCCAAAAATGTACGAAAAATATATTCCGATATTTGACTACCAGATTTTGTTTCAGAAAAATGACTTAATTCTTTATTTAACATTCGTCTAAATTTACTTGTAGCCATATCACCAACAGATCTATGTGATTGAATTGTTTCTAATTGATCCATACACCAATCAAGCTCTTCAAGTGTTTCAACAGCTAATCTAGACATTGTATCTTCAGATAATGGTTTTTGTGCTGCTGTTTGATTTTGATTTACTTGTTGTTGTTGTTGTTGTTGTTGTTGAATCAATTGTGTATAACTAGGTCTACGTCCACCTTCACGTGGACTATTTAAATTTAAAAAAAAGAAAATGAAAAAATATGAATGATACATCCACGCACACACATTATACACTTACCGATTGGTTGGATATCGAGCATTTGTAATAAGAATATAATTATTACGAACATTACGTAAGCTCGCAAGTATTTGTGCAAAAGGAGTAACAATAAGATCTTCAGCATGACTGAAATGAACAGAATAATAAAAAAAAAATCGTCAGATAATCAATAATTTAGTTATAGTTTTTCTGTATCGAAAGATTATTATTATAAAAATATTTTTTATAAAAATGAAATAAAACAGTAGCGAGAACCCCACAAAAAAAAGATAGAGAGAAGAGAAAACTCAATTTAAGCCGATTAGCAAAAAAAAACAATGAACGAAATTTCATCTTTTTTTTCAAAATATCGTAATAATTTTCTGTGTGTGTGTGTGTGTCTGTATGTCGATAAGTGCATCTTTGTTTGTTTGTTTTTTGTTATGGAAAAAAAATTTGGATGGATTGATTCAGTGAAAAACATGTGGAAACATTGGAAAACAGAAAAAAAATGTCAAAAGTCTTTGTGTTTGTCACAATGTTTTTGCCATCAGGGATAAATTTTTATGCCATTATATTTAGCGATTATGTTTACCTAACTAATAACCAATAATAGATAATAAAGAATTCCTACCTTGGTGCAGCTTGTAAACGGTCCCAGAAAAAGCTACGATTTTTCATTCGTAATGCTGATGTACTAAATGTTCGTGGAATGTTAACACTATTACCACCACCGCCGCTACTATTTCCACCACCACCACCACCACTATCGATACCAACAATACCACATCCAGTTGAACTAACACCGGGTGAATAAACACTTGAATCATAATCATCATAATCTTCTGAACGACGATAACGTCGATGATGATTAGGATGATTAGTATCATATGATGATCCATCAATTATTATTTGATTATCATTACCATATTGTGTACTAAGACGACGTTTATCCAATATTAATGATGAATTGTTTGTTTTATTTGAAATACCATCATCATTATCATCATTATCTGAATGATGAAAATGTTTATTATGATTATTATTAAATTCATCATCAAATTCTTCTTCTTTAATACAACCAGCTGATTGTATTGATGTTAACGAAATTTTTGGATAAGTATGTTGATGTGATAATTGATGTGGATGTGGTAATGATTGTATTAATGTTGTCGTGGTTGATGTTGTCGTTGGTATTGAACGATAATTATGATCATGATGATGTTGATTTGGATTATGGCTATGTTCAGTATGTGAAAGACATGTTCTATTTACATTATCAATATTACATTTTGAATCAGATTTTGATTTTTTTGTTGCTGTTGTTGTACAAATTTTATTATTATGTAAACGATTTGTTGTTGTTGTTGGCTTATTTAACAATGTTGTTGTTGTTGTTGTTTGAGCTGTTTTTGTTGTTGTTGTTGTTGTAGACATTGGCGTTGATGCGGTGGTGGGCAATGTTGTTCCACCAGCAGCCGCTGTCATACAATGACCGCCTGCAGCATTTTCATTTGGCTCGGGCCTTTTTGGAGCAGTCATGTTGCTGCTATTGCGGCTACTGCTGCTGCTGCTGCTGCTTTCCTCTTCTTGCTTTTGCGAGAAGAGGCCGAGAAAACAGTCACAGAATTTCGAACACAGCTTTACTGGCTATTTGATTGAATTTTTATAAATTTGAATATAAATTCTGTATCTTCTTTCTTTCGAATAAATGAATAATCTTCTGCTGTTTTCTGTTGTCTATGATGAATCAATAAATCAATGAATGAATTTCCAAAGAAAGAGAGAGAAATGATTGTAATCAATCAATGATTAATCTAATGGTTAAAATGGTTGTTGTTGATTGAATTTTTTCTTAAAAAAATTTATTTGTTTTGTTTGGCTTTTTGATATTCATTCATTCTACATTTACAATTTGTTTTAGAGAGAAAAAAAACTGAAAGAAAAAACAAACAAACAGAAAAAAAAGTATAATTTATGTGAGAATCCTGGATGGATTCTTTAAATTCTGTGTGTGTGTGTGTGTGTTTGTAAATATCAAAGAATTAAGATAGTTGCAAAAAAATGAACAAATCACAATTGTGACAAGGATTTATCAGAATGAATGAAATACACAAACAAACGACGACAAAAGTGAAAAACCAACAAACAAATATTACATGATGATTATTATGACTAAGGACGGAACAAAAAAAAAACAAAACAAATCAATAAATATTTTGTTGTTGTTGTTGTTGTTGAATATATCTAGAGAATATTCTTTCGTTTCGTTGAACAGGAAATGTTTGGATATTATTATTTTGTATGCTTATGTATGTTATGGCCGAACCAAAAAACACCGATATAAGGAAGGAAGTAAGAAAATCATTCAATAAAAACACACACACGAAGAGAGATACAGCGATTCGTAAATAGACAGAGAGAATTACCGGCTAAATATTTAGCACACAACAATAATAATGTATATCCCAGAAGAAGAAAACAAATCTAGGATGATGATTTATTTCAAGACAAAAAAACGACGAAAGTAATAAGAAAAGAAAAAAAATCGTTTCGTTTTGCCAGAAGAAGAATATTCTGGAGATTTTTTTTATTATATAAAGGTATTTGTGTCAGTCATTTGGTCGGTCGGCGTGTGTTCATATATATGTGTCTCGGGTGAATTTGGTTGTTTTTACAATTTCAAAATGAAAATGATTTAAGAAATTTTCATTTGTTTCTCTCTTTCTTTCATTCGACTTCACTGGTTTTAATGTTTATTTTTTTCTTCTTTTTCAAAGATTCTCATTCAATTTATTAATAGTGATGATGATGGCTGTTGTAGAATTCCCTTTAGATGAATTTTTTGCTTTTAGTTTTTTTGCGTTGAAATTATATTTTCATTTTCATTCGATACTTGGTGAGATCATCATCATCATCTTGAAGTGTTGGATATAGTGATGAAAAACATTATCATCATCATCATTGTCTTCTGGGCATTTTTTCGCTAGTTGTTGATGATGATAATGGTATTCATAACGATTTTTTTGGTTTTTGGCTAAGATTTTACATTTTTTTTCTCTTTGATTTACATCCGAAATACGTTCATATAGTCAATTAAATCATTTTTTTAACTTGATTCTTTCTTCAATTCGTTGAAATAAATCTTCATTTCAAAAAAAAGTATTCAGCCAATATATATAAAAAGGAGATATATTTCAATAATGAATTGAATTTATGAAAGTCGTAACTTTTCATCAACTGAAAATGGAAAAAATGTCGAACAAATTAGCGAAAGTGAGAGAGACGAAGAAGAAAAAATGAATAACGAAAACATTATATTTTCGGGCGTATTCATTCCACTGTGTGTGTCTCGTTGACGATAAATAGATGGATAAATGAATGAATTGGATGAAAATGTCAATGTTAACCGCACACACACACGATAATGGTAACGAGAGAGTGAAACACACTATTCACAATTCTTTAAATTCTTGACTTGTCGTTTTTTTGCAGTCAAAAATTATCGAAGCAAAATGAATGAATGAAGAAAAACGGCTAGACAAGACGACAAAAAAAAGTCTTTTATGATATTGTCATTCATATATTGACATTGTTGTTCAACATATCAATCGGTTTTTACTCTCTTCAATTCCTCACAATCATTTCATTTTCAATTCTTTTTCGTTGAAAATGTCTAAATATACCGATGTTTTTGTGGTTAATTCTTCTTCTTCTACGTATTTTTTGTTGTTGAAAAATTTCGTGAATTTCTGTCTATAATGACGACATTGATGACGACAGTTTTTAGTTTGTTTTCCTCTTAATTTGATGATAATGATGATGATGTTAAATCATCAGTCGAGAGAAGGGAAAAAAAGTTGGTTAAAATATACAAACTTGAAAACAAACAAACAATGATATCTTTAAAAACAAATCAAAAAGTTTGAATTGAATGAATGAATGAATGGGTGAAAGAAAGCGAAAAACACTTGAAAAAAATGATCAAAAGTTTTTCAGTTAACGTCTGTTGTTTGTTTGTTTGTTTGTTTGTCGAAATTCCAGGACGACAAACAAAATTGTATTAAAAATGTTAATTAAAAAACAAAAAAACATTCAGCTAACATTATGATGTGATCATCACTTTGTTTTTTTGTTTTTCAAAACACAGAATTGATAAACAAGCAAAAAAAAACACGCACAATGAATTCAGTCGAAAAAGAAAACAAGAATCTAAAATATCTTTAGACAACAACAACACCGAAAGAGAGAGATCAGAATCAATGAAATGCGTAATTTTTTTCTCTTCACTGATAAATGCGCATGTGAAATGGTCCAAATTGTTGTCGATTGTTGTTTGTTGGTGTTATAAGGACACACAATTCAACATTGAAACAAACAAATATAGACAATTGACACAATGTCCTGGGCATTGATAAACAAACAAACACAGAATCAAGAAAAACAATTGAAATGAATCGAATTGAATTGAAAATCGGATAACGATTATAATGTTAATGTTGATTATTATATGATGATGATGATGGCTATATGTATTTATCAACAAAAAAAAATAGTGATTGATGATTGGATTTATCTGTCTTGTTGTAATGTTAAATATATGTTACGGATTTTTGTCACACACATTCATATGGTTGATTGATTTTTTTCTCTTGGTTGTTTTTTCAATCAATGAATTGATGATATTCTTGCTTGAAATACACCTTGTTTGTTTCACACTATTATTATTATTATAATAAAACATTTGACATTTTCAAGTATACACACTTAGTTTTAAACATTGTGAAAAAAGAATGAAACCACCACCACCACCATCATCAGAAGAGGAACCATAGAGTGATTTGTAGCCGTGATTATTATTTGGGTAAACGAAAAAAATTCGGATATTATGGCTGATAACCGGTGAAACAAAAAATGAGCCAAAAGAGAAAAACAAAGTAGAGGAATTTCTTTCTTTATTTTCTCTAAATTCGTCTTATCAATGTTTTCACAGTGTATGTGTGTTTGTCTATATCTTATGTATTTAAATCTGTTATCCTTTCTTCAAACACCAAACACGCAAAGCCAATGTTAATGATGACAAACGACAAATAGAAAAAAGAGAAAGAGATTTTTAACGACGATAAAATAGATGATGATTGTCTTAA